GGGTCTCAGTATGAGTCCTTCTGAAATAGAAAGGGAAGCCACAAAAAGGAAGACTGGTTGGGAAGTATGAGATCAATGAACCTGAAGGGCTGTTGTAAGGTGAGGAAAGAAATAAGAGTTGGAGGGGAAATGAGAGGTAGCTAGGTCTTGGAATCTAACATTTCCACGACAGTGCTGTTCTAGGGGCTGGCAAGGTCTACACGCAGGGTATGGCTGTTGGAGGAATAGAGTTGTGACTTTTCCAGCTGATCTTTATTAGGCTTGCTTATTGCTCAATTCTAAGTACTATATGTATGCTTCCCTGAGTCGTGATGGAGTAATCTACATCCCCTAGAAATTATGATAGTAGAGGTTAGGACACCCAAAACACTTTTTCTTCCCTAGCATTTAAGGATTCTGAGTATGAGTCTCTTTATTTGTCTTTCTCTCCTTATTTCCTTTTATGATACTAAGTAATGACAAGAAGATGGTTACAGAAAGTTACAGACCTTGAGTATATGCTAATACTTCCCTCTACCTTCATTATTAGATTCTTGCCCAGGTGGGCAGGCCCAAGACTTTGTTTCTGACTATAATTTGGGGCAATAAAAAGAATATCCTATAGGTGAAAACACAGTTTTTCACACCGGTGCTGGAAGTGGCCTCTTTATCTGCCAGCCATAGAGACATATTGCTTGGTCCTCAGGTTGGTCACCTGTCCTGCCTCTGGGATGTGAGGCACAGCTGGATTCTCAGTTCTGCACCTCTTTTGGAGAATCTGCTATTTTCTATGAGCAGTCATTGCATAGGGAGTAAACATTTGGGATCAATTTCTCCTTTTTGCCTTTCGCTCTTTTCCTGTAGCTCACGATGGAGAAGGCAACGGAATTAAAAGTGAGTTCTGAATTTGAGTCAAGAGGAATCCATGCACCCAGATGGTATGGAGCCTCTGTAATTCTTCCATCAATGACTGTCGCTTCCTAGTATGGCAGAATATCCTCCCATCTGGAGTTGGATTTGGACAAGTCACTATGGGCCTCCAAGTCTTCTGTGGGCCCGAGAGTCTGGGAGTATAGTCCTTCTAAACTTGCATGGGGATGTCTCAGCACACCTGTATAGCCTTACTCATTTTATGTAAATGGAAACTAGGGCAGTATGGGTAGTTTTGATAGACTCAGGAAATGAGTAGATGCAAATGCTTTATTTAGAAAATAAGTAGGTCTTCCCAGGTGTACTTAATTTGTGTATGTCTTGGAACATAAAACATTGGAAACTAGAAATAGTTTCATTACTATAACCTACTTAATTGATCTGCCCTGTAGTTCATTTGCTTGTACAATTGCACTTCTAGTGTTATGTGCATGGAGAACCTGGCTACTGGTTTCCTCATGCCTTTAGCTGACATAAATCACCTATAGAGGCAGTGGCAACATGATCTCAATTTTTCCTCCTCAAAAATTGTCCTCATTTTCTCAACATTGTGGATTCCAAGACAAGGTAGTTAATAAAATCAGTAGTTCTGTTTCAGTTTTGTTCTGGTTCTGTCTCTGGTGGTGTTTTAGGCCTGTTTTTGGGGGGTTTTAATAAAGAATGTGCCATTTTTGAAAACCCTTTTAGCTTCTTATGCTTTTGGGCTTCTTTCATAATATTCCCTGATCAGGGGTGAGCCCTTCATCACCAGATTAAATTTGGCTTATCTTAGATTGCCATCAGGCAAAATTTGTTTTAATGGGTTATCTCAACCAATGATATCCAGAAGACACCAGGACTGGAAGGGGCCAGCCATCGCAGGAGCATCATCTGGAAGCTCATTAGAAATCCCGAATCCTAGGCTCCCCAGCCTGGAGCTAAGGATCTGCATTTTACCAAGATCCTGTGGTGACTCATAAGCACATTAAAGTTTGAAAAGCATCAGTTAAATGATGAGTATGTAACAGCTCCATCTGAGCAGGTTTCCAAAGAAACCCATTGGCTCAGGTACAGAGTTTTGTCCTTCACCCTGTTTGATTTATGATAGCCAGGGTTGAGCTACCTCAGAGATTGGTTGGTTGGGTTTTTTTCTTTTCTTTCTTTCAGAGAGGGATAGAAATGGAGATCACTGAGTCTCCAGATAAAGGGAAACCCTGTTGGAGGTCATGGCACTATAGGAATATGTCTCATCTGCTTAGTGTGGAGTCTGTCATCCTGCTGTCCATCTCTTGTGAATGCCGGTGGCCCTGTTTTCTGAGAAAAGAAAATGTGTAGATAGGAAATGTGTGCGAGTTCTAGTTTTCATCCTAAGACTTAAAAATGCAAAACACACAACCCCGTAATGGTAATTACCAATGAGTTTTCAAGTACTAAGGAAGAAACAGAAGCCTGTTTTGATAACTCTTATTACACATTAGCAAGTTCATTTTGGAAGCAGTGTGAGGAAGCCATTAAGAGAAATAACACTAGTGTGTTTTGTGGCATTCTAGTTGCTGGCAGCACCTCATCTGTCTGTGGTCTCCTACTGAGAGCCCGGACAGGTGATGGCCCAGGATGGAAATTGAACAGGCTTTCACCAAGAAGCCCTTCTCTTCTGCATTGCTTTATAGTTTGATGAAGTGCATTAGTTGTAACTGCTTCTGATTTGGAAAATGGGGGAAATAAGCGATCTATCATTTAAATGAAACCCACATCACTTTGGTGGCCATTAACTTAGTACGTGGAAGTGACTAGGTGTTTGGGGGCATGTGAGAGCATACAAAAAGCTTGGATTAAATATTCTGAGTAATTTATCATCTGTCTTCTTGTAAAAATATCTATTTTTATCCCATTGGTATCCATCACACTAGCTAGATAAATCTCACTCTAGCTAGAGAAATTTAATCACTTGTAAAAATGCCTGGATTCTTGATCTCCCAGAGAGAAACTCTAAAAATGCCTGTCTCTGCAGTAGTGGAGTACTGATAACAGGTTTAAATCAACCAGGGATTTCTTTTGACTCTTTCTATTGTCAAATTGCTTAGAAAGAAAAAGGCAAAAGACTCAGGAATCTCCTGTAATCCTAACTGTAATCTTTAGAGCTTGCCTCACCACAATTTTCTATGCAGTTTTGGGAAATAGCACAGTCCTTGATTAGTTTAAAAATACATGTTCAGTGTAAAATGTGAATAGTATTAAAGGGAAGAAAAACAACAAAAAATCACCTGCCATCACCTCCATCCAAAAATAACAATATATTGGGTTATACATAGCATCTCCCTCTCAAAAGAACATATAAATACATATAATATTTATATTGTTTTAATAAAACACAGTTTTATTACCCTACTATGTAATAATTACAATACTGTGTAATGTTACTGCACTATGTGTAGACTGTTCTTTTGCCTGCTTTTGCATTTGGTAATGCATTAGATTTTGTCACGTTAATAAAGGTCCTTTTCTATATGATGTTTTCTTTAAAAGATGGGGTCTCACTCTGCCCCCTCCCCCCAGAGTGCAGTGATTTAATCTTGAACTCCTGGGCTCAAGAGATCCTGCCTTAGTCTCTGAGAGTAGCTGGGGACTATGGGCTCGTGATACCACACCTGGCTAATTAAAAAAAAATTTTTTTTTTTTTTTGTAGAGACAGGGTCTTGCTATGTTGCTCAGGGAGATCTCTAGATAATTTTTAGCTAGATTTGAAACTACCTTGTGTCATTTGGATCTGCTTAAAAAATGAGAATAACTGTAGGCATGGGTCTAATTAAAATAGGAAACAAAAACCAAAAAATCCCCTAGTTGTAGGTACACTGAAGTCCACTAAATCAATTTCATTTCCACTGGGAAATCAAAAGACTAAATGGTTTTTGGGTTTCCTATTCAGTATCCTGACTGCCATGTAAACCAACTTAGTGTGGCCTTTGTGTGGCTTCTTACTATCACCTCCTACTGATTCCCTTCATCTCTTTTGAAAATACTTTTGGGCTATGAATGTTTCTTTTCTTTTTTTTTAATTGCATTTTAGGTTTTGGGGTACATGTGCAGAACATGCAAGAATGTTTATTTTCTAAGACTTTCAGGTGTCTCTGTCTTTTGCTCCCTGACTACCTCTAGAAGTACCTGAAGATTGCAGGTACAAAAACTAAACTATGTAAATTAACATGGAATGGGGCCGGGGGCTGGAACCAGCAAAGAGAAGGAGAATTAGTTTTTATCTCAGTTTGTCACACCTGGCTAATTAAAAAAAAACTTTAACTTTTTTAATAAGATGACTTGATGTCTCTTATTCTCTGCATTCACTTTGGGTGGTTCTGAAGGCTTGGTACTGTATGAGTGTAAGATACACCAGAGAACCTTGCAGAAGCACAGCTGCTGTCATGAATCTCTCCTGCTGAACTCTTGAACTTGGCCGCTAACTTCTCACTGGAGAAACATCAAAGCACATGGCCCCGCACATCATGGGTCTACCTGATTTTATGGTGCTTGTCTACATTGACCTTGCATCAAAATGGGTCCATTCATATCCCTGAAACTAGCTCCTCTGTCTGTAGAAATCCTTGGCTGATCTCCTCCTCTAGTAGCAGCCCCCATTTTCCTTCCCCCTTGTAAATCCCACCCATCCTTACACAAGACAGCTCCTACCTGTAGCCACACAGCCTTATAGGGTTCCTAGCTCAGGACACACACTGCCGCAGGCGGGCCTCTCCCTGTTGGTATTCCTCATGTGCTTTAGTCACTTGATGACACGTTTATGTGTGTACACTTGGTTATATGCCTTTGTGTACAGACACGTGTCCACTTGAAGCAATAATTCTCTTCATACACAAGTCAGATTTCCCCTATGTTGATGAAAGGGCTTAAGGATATACTTCTTTGCTTTCATTTCATAGAAGCCCAAACACCTTACAAATCACTTTGACCACAGAAAGATGAGCATGGGTTTTAAATCTCTTGTATCAGCCATGGCTAGCCATGCAATGACTTAGGATCTCCGTATTTTCTTTCTTATCTTCTCAAATAGATGTGTACCCTTTGCAGTTCACTGCAACCTCTGACTCCTAGGTTCATTCTCCAGCTAAAAAAAAAAAAAGAAGATGTGTACCCTTTGCCTGACTGTAGCTTCCAATCATAGTGAAAATGTAACAACAGTCTGCATGTGGATAGATGGGGAGGGATAACACACAAACAGAAACAATGTGAGCTGATGAAGGAAAAGTTTAGATGACTCAGAAATGTGGGACTGAATACAAAACTCTGCCCCTTCCTGCTCCTGCCTCCTCTCTTTGGTTTTCACCTATGCTGAAGAGTGCTTTATGTCTACTTGAGTAATGTATACTGTTACCCATCTCTTAAACTGTATCCAGTGCCTCTGAGAACAATTTGTTAAGGGGAAGTTTGCTCAGGGAATTTCATAATCCAGGGAACATCTGTAGAGCTAAACTGGAAGACCCTAATAACAGGGTCATGCTGCTGATTTTGTGTGTTCCCAGTAGCTGCCTAACGAAATTGATTGAGGCACCTGGGCAATAGGGTAGTAGGGACTCTGCAGTAAGCCGCCAGTGGCATAGGCACAGTTATTGCTAATGTGCTGCCAGATGCAAACCTACATACGACCACACATTCCCAGAAACAGGTTCTGCCCTCTTTGGGGACAGCCAGCTTGGGGGCAACTCATTGGGAGATTCTTGCCAATAGAGGCTCCATTATAAGAGCTGGGACATAGAGCCAAGACCCCGTAGCAGCCTCGTCAAGTCAAGTCTTGTGGTAGTGCTCACAGTGGGCAGGATGGGAATAGCCCTTGGCAAGATGGGCAAATTGTCAGATATGGATGGATTGCTTGGGCCTCTTTTCCCTGAAAAGGGGCTAAAAGAATTAATGTTGAGAGTACAGAAAATGCACTATGGATAGTAGAGGAAGACAGAAAGCCAGAGGCCCAGATAAACTCTTTAGGTTTAGCGAGAAGGAAACTATTTTCTGCCTTCCAAGTATTAATGACCTCAAAACTTCCTCCTCTTATGTCAGCATCAATATTCCACTTGTAAGAGCAATCAGTGGGTATAAAGGAATTGACATCTGCATTTAAGATTCTCCTTATGGCCCTTACCCAGGCCTCCTCTTGACAGCCTTCTCAGGTAGGGCGCCTGGATTCTGCTCTCTTTCTAAGTTTTCTCCCACCCCATTTCTTAGCAGACAGCACTTCTCGATGAGAACCACTTCTTTGAGTTTGAAATCATCTCCGGCCTGTCAACACACATGCAGATTGGAAACAAACTTTGGAAATGGCAGAGAGCTTCCTGTTTCTCTGGTTCACTTTTTGACCTTACAGATGTGTCAGTGACTCCCTCATTTTTACACTTTATACTGGCATACCTGGGAGGCCAGGCAAAGCCTCTCTCCCTCCTGCCCAAGCACATTGAGACAAGAACTGCCTTGGTGGATTTTTTTGAATTCATGTTAGATTGAAGTGTACAGGTAGATGGGTAACATGCTGGTCTTGCAAATATGGGCATCATCTGAATTATTCAGAGGTCAGTTTAATGATGTCATCTGGAAAGCTCCCAGTCAAAGCTTTAGTTTGAGGACAAGTTGTATACCTACGCTCTAGTGACTCTTCCTGGTTAAGAGGAGTCAGCAAACTAGACCCTTCTTATTTCCTGAAGATCACAGTACCTGTGTCACTCAAGGTAACTCCTGGCATTTGTTGTCCAGCTTTCCTGCTCCAAAGCATGAACTCGTAGGCAGCACACTGACTCTCACTTTTCTCTAGTTTATTCTTCACACATCTGCTAAGATGAGGAGAAGCAGTTCTAACTGCTTCTTTTCTCTGTGGCTCCCCACCCTCTACTGCATCAAGTGTTTGCTTGTGGGCAGAGCTGCTAGTTTGCCTTGTGGCCTTGCCACTGTCTGGTGCCCCAGTCTCCTGCATTCCTGCTGCACTCTTTGGTTCCTGGTCTTCAGCTATATAAAAGTCCTTATATTCTCCAAATATGTATAGCTGTGTCACCTGCTGAGATTTTGTACTTGGCTTTCCCTTTGCCTGAAATGACCTGTCCAACTTTCTGGGCTTAGAAAACCTTTTTTTTCTTTTCATGAGTGAACTCAGAAGTTTCTCCCTTGGGGAAGCCTTTCCTAATTCCATTTTCTGCTACTTAACGAATGTATTTAGTACTGTCATTATCATTGTTTGCTTACAATATGGTCTCCCCTAAAGGCCTACTGCATGAGGACAGAAACCTTACTTGATTTATTTTTTATGTTCCCAAGGCTGAAGGAAAAAGTCAACAATATTTGTTGAAGGCTATAATAGCCAAAACAGCATGGTATAAAAATAGACAAACAGATCAGTGGGACAGAATAGAGAACCCAGAAATAAAGCCCGATACGTACAGCCAACTGACCTTTGACCAAGGCAACACAAGTATACACTGGGGAAAGGACATTCTTTTCAATAAATGGTGCTGGGAATACTGGATTGGCATCTACAGAAGAATGAAACTCTACCCTATTGCTCACCATATACAAAAATAAATTCAAGAGGGGTTAAAGACCTAAATGTAAGACCTGAATATATAAAATCGATCTAACTGTCCATCAATGGATGATTAGATAAAGAAAATGTAATATATATATAAAGAATGAACTCATGTCTTTCGTAACATAGATGGAACTAGTGGCCATTGTCTTAATGCAGAAACAGAGACAAATACGGCATGTTCTCACTTATAAGTGGGAGCTTAAATAATGTGTACACATGGACATAGTGTTGAATGACAGACAATGGAGTCTAGAAAGGGTTGGGGGTTTGAGAGGGTGGATGATGAGCAACTACTTAATGGATTCCATGTAGTCATTCCAGTGATGGACACACTAATAGCCCTATTTCACCCCTATGCAATACATCCATGTAACAAAATTGCCCTTGTATCCCATAAATTTATACAAACTAAAAAAATACTTGCTGAATTGTCCTCTTAAGTTCTCTACCAAGAGTGTTTCCTTTCTATTTGTATTTGTTAATTTGTGTCATATTTGCCTAGGAATACTAGGTCTCTGATTTCTCGTTACATGACTGGTTGAATACATTAACAATTTTACTCTTGTAATTTTCACGAATTCTTAAATTTTCCAGAGCTTTACAAGGGTCTACAATTGTAGTCCTTCTCTGCATACCCACAGGTCTACTGTCAAATGGTTCAAGAAGGGAATTGGTGCTTCTGTTAACTTATTCTTTGCGACGGAAAAGTCAGGCAAAGCGTAATGGTGGTACGAAGCCAGAGCGCTCTTGTGCTGTTAGAGCTAATTGAAAATCCAAGTGCTATGGACAGCATTGTTAGTGAAGGATTGACACTTGCAGCTGTCATTTGCTAGAAGATAAGGTTATTATTTACTGATTGTGAGGCATTTGGAGGGCTAAAGTCATCTCCTTACATTGTTATCTAAGGATAGACTTGATTGTGATATTTTGGGGATGAAAAAAAAAGAGTAATGCTGATTTCTAATCTCTCTCTCTCTTTTTCTCTCCCAAATTAGGAAATAATCCTTATGTCAAAGGATTAAAGGAAACAGTTCATTTAGCAGGAAAGGAGAGCAGGAAGTAGATGGTGGGGCAGTCGCCTTTGTTAAGGAGCCACTCCTTGCCTGACACTCAGCTGGGACCTGACACACATTACATAATCTAATTTTTACACAAACTTTGGCAAGTAGACTCATTATTTCAGTGTTTCAGATGCAGAAACTGAGGCTCAGAGAGGATAAGTAGACCCATCCAAGGTAAACACAGCTTAAGAAGTGGCAGGGTCCTTGTCTGCCTGACACTGGAACAGTTTTTGGGGACACTCTCGGTTACTTCTATGCCTTGACTAAGGAAGTAAAACTGTCACATTGGGTGGCAGGTTGGGCAGCAAATGGGCATTTTGGAGAATTAGATTTTATGCGGAGCAATACTGGGCTTTCAGTCTCCTGACACATGGTTCTATCATTTTCTGCCCTGAATCCTGTGGAATCTACCTTGCCTAGATGAATCAGAGTGTTTAGAAATGACAGCTTTATGGAAATAATTCAGAGCACGGCTGGGGTACACTGGTAAAGATTATGTATCAAGGCTTCAGAAATAAAAGTTGCCCTGAATTGGTGACTTTTAGCCCCATCTAGTCTGCATAGTCATTAGACAGCCTGAATGTCAGCGATTCAGGGGACAAAGCCTTAGAATGAAAAAGATAAATGATTGGTTCAGTAATGTTCCCCTACGTACTCTAAAAGTCAGCATCAGACACCAGATCAATCTTTTTGTTTTCTTTTTTGCCATTTAATAGGTCTGCAGGGAGACAGAAGATTCATGTCAATGAAAGTCTCTATAATCAAACTGAACAGGAAAGCCATATGAAAGGACACATTGCGTCCTATGCTCTGAATATAATTAGTAATAGGATAGTGGAATAAAAGTAGTAAGGGAGGCAAAGGGAGAAGTGAGAATATGAAAATATCTGGAATAGAAAACATGCAAGGACAAGTGCCTCGGAAGGCAAGGAAGGCATTAATATACAAGGATGGAGTCGAATGTGATATTTAGGGGATGAAAAGAGTAATGCTGGTTTCCAATCCTTCTCTTTCCTAAGTTAAGACATGACTCTCATGTTGATTTAATGCTAGAAGAATGGACTAGAGAAAGTAGGTCCCCTGGCTAAGGTTGAGGACAAGGGACTGGATTGAAGCAGAGGAAGCGACATGAAGATTGTGTAAAAGGAGCAGGGAGAACCTTCACTACACTTAGGAACTTTCATTTTTTTAGTAACTCAGGCCCTGGATCTTCCTGTCTTCCAGGCCAAGGGTTCTTTCCTATATTAACCAAATTGCCTGGTTGGAGTCCCTATTCTTGAACTCTGGAGAGATCACATCTTCCCAAATGCATCCAAGGACTTCTTATGGGCTTGAATTTCTCCAGTGCTTTTATTTATCCATTTTTCTGATCCCACTAAATTCCCTCTTTCAGTTTCCTGGCATCTTATAGCTCTTCGTTTTTTGCCATTGCCATCCCAGAGTGTCGTAGCCACCTCTGTTTGTGTAAATGAAGGTTTTGGGTTAACAGAAGGGCATTTAGCACTGTGTAGAATAGAAAACAAAATTCATGAATTATTTCGGGCTAGGGGGACTTCGCTCCTGCTTTCCTCACTACCTGCCCACATCACCCATTTCTTCTAAAATCCCTACTCCACCCCCTACTCCCCAAACTGGTGGCATCTGCAGATAGCTCCAAGATTCTGGTTGCTTCACGAAGCAAAGCGGTTTAGCTTTCTTTGGCTTCCACAAGAAACCACACTGTTATGGGATCTTTGGGGCACGGATTTTCTGGCCAGAAGCCTCTGTGGCTGGGTGGGGCCTTTGCCAGAGTTCTTGTTCTACATCCAGGAAGAATGAGGTATGCAGATAAGTAGCGAAGGGTGAACAAGATGAAGACTGGCTTTATTAAGTGTTAGAACAGCTCAGAGGAGACTCATAGTGGATACTTCTGCTCTGTAGGCAGGTTGTCCTGTGGAGTGTTCAGCTGCCAGCAGAGTGGAGGCCCTGGAGAGGGTAGCTCCTCTCTGCTCACTGGTCATCCTGATATCTCTCCTGATCTCAGCAGAGAGAGCGCCTCCTTTCTGCAGCTGGTCTTCCAGTGGTCTCTGACTTTCACCATCCTGTGCCCTACTTTGGCTGAGCCCAGGACTCTTATGGACCTCAGAGGGGAAAAAATGCTTGCTGATTGATCCATGGGTAGCTATGGGTGGCTCCAGAAGAGGGACCATGAGACCCTACTCTGGTTAGTAGGACTGACAGCCCTCAACCTCCTGGCTTGAAAGCGGGGCCTTACTGGAGACCAACCCTTTTTCTCCCAGGAATCAATCTGCCTCCTGCTGCAGTACGCCTTCTGCTGATATTCATGGCTTCAGGGCTTAGCCACAACCTTGCTCCAGGGTGGAAGCAGGTGCCAGGCGAGGGACTGGCCAGGCAGTGGGAACAGACACCCCAGAGCCAGCAGGGCCAGCTGCTGGCTGGGCAGCCGCAGCTGCACCACAGAAGGGAGATCCACAAGAGCACAGGGAGACTTGGACCCACAGCTGGAGTTTGGGTGGCCAAAGCCCGACCTAGGAAGGTAGGGCTCCTGCCTGCTCCATAGACCAGGAGGCCTGGGTCTGCAGCTGCAGCTTGGACAACTGCAGTGATGACTGGGGAGCTCCAAGTCACACCTCCCTGCTGCAGCCAGCATGAGAGCAGTGAAATGGGGAAATTTCCCTTGTCTCCCTCACAGGGTGTGTGATGCTGGTGTGACTTGCTTCTTCAGTGCCTCTTTGCTCAAACCTCTAGGGGAGCATACAGACAGGCAAGCTGTGGAACTCTGACCCCACAGCAGTGTCTAGGGGTGAATGTTTACAACTGAAGTCCCAGTGGGCATGTGTTACAGGATGCTCTTTTACTTTTGTTATCTGTAGGAAGCTGGGTTAGCCAGCTAAGTTAGACCCCTGCCTTATCACAAGGGCAGAGGGCTTTCTCTCCTGGGATTCTTGCTTTCTGTACCAGAAGAACTGGATCACATGTGGGCTTGGAGAATAAGTGCAAGCTTTTATTAAGTGGAAGTAGCTCCCAGCAGATGGGGGGCCAGAATGGCGATGGTTTTTTTCTGGAATTAGGCCTGACAGTGACCCGAACTCTCCTCCAACTGCCCCAGCCACACTCCGCGTTGTTCGATGGCCTGCAGGCGTGCTGGTGCCTGTCGGTGTGCTCCTGTCAACGTGCTCCTGTCAAAGTTCTGTTGCCTATGTGCATATGTTCCTCCCTTCTCTGATGTGCTCCTTTTGATGCCCGGCCACCTGTGTATCTACCTGTTAGGGTCTTGGAGAATGAGTGCAAGGTTTTATTGAATGTGGTATATAGGCACAGGATGGGGACATGGCAGGCTAGGGTGGTCTTGGGAAATGCAGCACTTGGGCAGGAAAACAGAAATTCCTGTCCTCACTTAGGTCCATAGGCACAGGCCTGGGGGTGGAGCTCTAGCCAAGGACCACACCCTCCTCCGCCCAGCCCTTCTCCTCCTTGCTTCTGTATTATTTAAAGAGAGCATACTCTTTCATTCCCCGTACTTCCCTGCTGTATCATTTCACTTGTCTGAAAAGATACATCTAACTACCATAAGATATGGATTGTGCTTAGCTGCTTCCTGCATACGGGGCATTGTTTTGGAGAAAACGGCAGTGAGATTCCTCTCAGAGGTCTCTCTGAGGGTTTCCCAGCAAAAGGGAGCCAATGGCTTCTAGGTGTGAGGGGGAGAAGTTTTATAAGGTTAAGTATGCATGGGTTATACATGTGTATTACATAAGGAATGAATTTAGTGCCAGGGATTACAGAGATAACAACATTGTATCCCAAGCTGTTTCACCCTGGTGAAAGAAATTAAACCTGTGTGGGAGCAGATAAACTTTAGAAGAGGGATATCTGTTCTTGCCATATCTTTAGCAGTTAACAGGTGCACCCTGGAATTCTGGGGTTTGTGGGCTTGCTGTATAACCTATCAGAGTCATCTGAAAACTTGCTAAGATCTCCCTTAATTTTCTTTAAGGCCTGTAGGAAGAAGGGGACCTGGACCTAACTGTACCTAAATTCACTGGGCATCTGTTGTAGGGGCAAGAGTGAGAGTGGGGCTTGTTTAAGGTGAGGATTTCTAGGAGGGGGCAAGTGGGAGGCTGAAGCTGGTTGGGGAGGTCAGGGTGGACCCTGAGGAGCAGGGTTTGAGGGAGCTGGCTCCTCTGCTGGGTGTGCCTCTGTGACTTGTATCTTTAATTCCTTGGGCTTGCCCCTTGCAGCCTTTCCTGAGATGGTAAACAGGAGGGCTGGATCAATCCTATATTGTCGGCAAAGGTCTGGATTGCCTGCAAGGCATTGAAAGCCTGCACATATGGGCCTCAGAACTATGTATCCTCAAATCTAAAGAAAAGTTACAATTGCTGGATGGTATGAGTGGTTCCTTCCTGAGGCCAAGACAGTCCTTCCTGTAAATCATAATTTGGCCAAACCTTTGTGTAGAGGCCTATAAGGTGCTTTTCCGTCAGATTCTGAGGATCAGAGCAGTCCCACTTGTTCAGGATATAGTCCAGAGGAATATAAGCTGGGCCTGGTGAAGAGAACTGGTTGCCCTTTCTGAAAGACATGGAATAGAGGTGTCCCTCATTTCCCTTCTTCTTTCAGTAAAAACTCAGGGTATGATGGAGAGAGAAAGTGGGCACCCTCCTTTCACTTTCCACCTCTTGTCCCTGAGCCCCGGTGACCTTGGCAGGTGCTGGCCATAGGTACCAATGCAGTATGTACCCATGAAGAAGAGAAAACCCGGAGAATGGGAATTGACTGCCCTCACCAATGCCTCCGTTTCTCCCTGCTCTCAGCAAACTTCGAGTTCCCTGGGCCTGTTTATGCCACGAAGCATGGCCTCCTTCCTTGGGGCAGGGTTCAGTCAGTAGGAATTGGTCCTGCTTGTATACATCGTGCCTGTTGCATGGATCTGGATTCCCCAGACCTGGGGCGTCAGCCTGAAGCTTGGAATTGAGTTTGGGACTGAAAAGTCATTTCAGAGAATGTTTGTATCCATTTAGTGTCTCAAATAAGCCCTGCCGAATTTGCTGTTATCAGCCAGCAGGGGTCGCTCCTCTGTTAACATCCCTATCAGAAACAGAGTGGGGGGAGGGGCCCTCTCACTTAGAAAAGGAAAGAAAAACAAGAGAAAAACAGTTAAGGGTGGGGGAAAGGTGGGATGCTTGGGAAGGAACGCGTTGGTTAGTGCAAGCGGAGCCCTCTAATCCTTATACCCTTCCCATTCTTTCCCCAGTTCAGACCAGGTTGAATTTTTTGACTAGGGAAGGAAAGGGTCCATTGGCTCAGTAGGCAAGAAGCACCCTGTAGGGTCCTGGCTATGTCCTTGACTTCCTCCCACCTCCCTCATGGCTCCCACCCAGGTGCCCTAGCAGGGAGGGGAAAGAGTAAGAAGAGGTGCTCTGAGATGTTGTGTGCCTGTGACTATCAAGGTGGAGGCATATACGGCACTTCTAAGAAAAATTGGTCTGATTTGCACCTTTGGTGGCTGAGGCAAACACTCATTTTACTTAGAAATATTGCTGCAGCCTTAATATTGTAGGAAAACTCTTAATATTGTAAAGAAAGAGATAAAAGCCATTTCAAATTGTGTGAGAGAAAGGAGAGACAAAAGAGAAACAGAGCCTCTTATCCACAGGAAAGAGAGAGAGTGGCGGGGTTTTGGAAGAAAGGCAGACCTGACAGTTTCGCATTGGCTCACATGTACCTTCCAAGATCCTTGATGAGGCCCCAGTTGAAATGGGAAAAGTTCCCTTGTCCCCCTTGCAGGGCATGCGATGGGAGTGTGACTCACTTCTTCAGTGACCTGCTGCTCAAACCTCTATGGGAGCGTACAGACGGGCACGCTGTGAGACTCTGACTCCGTGGCAGTGTCTAGGGGTGAATGTTTATAGCTGAAGCCCCAATGGGCATGTGTTACAGGATGTTCTTTCAGTTTGGTCTTCCATCTGCAGCTGTGTTGGTCAGCTCAATCAGTCCCCTGCCTTATCACAAGGATAAAGGGCTTTCTGTATCCTGGTGTTCTTGCCTTGGTGTACTGGAAGAATAGAATCATGGGCTTGGAGAATTAATGCAAGGTTTTATTGAGAGGAAGTAGCTCTCAATGGATAGGAGATGGTTTTCCCCTGGAGTCTCTCCGGGGATAATTTTCCCCAGTGCTCTCCTCCAACTGCCCCAGTCAAACGCTGAGATATGTATCTGTGTGGATATATCCTACTGGACAGTTTAGTACTTCACATTTGAAATCATTTGATTCCAATACATCAAAAAGAGGCCTTTAGGGCAGTGTCATGTGACTTGCTAGTGATTGCAGCCAATGTTCAGAGTCCCTTTCAGTTTCCTGCCCCCTTGGACAAGCCTTGTGCCAGGACACACATCCTTTGTCCACCTGCTGCTGGTGTGAGTGCTCGCTACAGCCTTCTCCTTTAATGCTTCCTCACTTCCTGTCAGAGGGCTGGTGTTTCCTACGGGCTCTCTGAGGATTCTCAGAAAAGCTTGAGAAGCTCTCTTCCAATCTGTACAGTGAAGAGCCTTACACAGAGAGTGAATCTCTAGCTAGAAAAGCCCAAAGTTGTAGAAACATCTCTACGGAAATCTATCCATGGGCACCACTTTTTTCCAATCCTCTAACTCAGGACACACAGGCTCCTATGTGTGTGAGATGGTCAGGAGATGCAGTTTGGATGATGAAGCATTGAAGTGTCTATTGGTCGTACAACAGGACTGAATATTTGAAATCAGGACTGTTCTGTAAAGCTTAGCATAGGAGGAGGGATCCCCAACCTTGACCCTGGTGCCCTTCCAGATCTCTCCCACATAAATGGCCTCTTCTAAAGTCACAGTAGGGAGTGTCAGAAGGGGTAGATCCTTCACCAGTATCACCACTGGGGTAGGGTAGACTACGGACTGCTGAGTCCTGCCACAGATACTTGCAGTTGAGGTTTATGTAGGGGGCACAATTTTCCTGGGAAGCTCAGCAAACTCTTATCATGGGGTTGTTCCTAGGTCAGGGAAATTCAGGGGATACCAAGAAGTCCAGGATGACTGACTCTTATTGATAAGAAAGGTCATCTTCTTCTTCATTCACCCTCAAATCTTTGAACTGACACGCAGATTATTGATCTGTGTACTTTCATGAGGCATGGAGACAAATACACCAAAATACACCCAAACCTATCTACAGTAGGGGTTAAATGCAAGTTCTATACCTGTGTTCCTGTTCAGCGATTAAGAATGTAAAGCGCTTTTTGGCACTTGTTATTTGAACGATTTATAAAATGCCCCTCTTTGCTCTTCGTCCCTTCCCTTCCAGAGCCTGTGAACTTGTTTCTGGAAGAGGAGTCAGTTGCTATGGGAATATTATTTAAGGAGACACATGTCAATGACATTCTATAAAAGTGGTACCAGTTTACACTGTCATGTAAAAAGGCAGTGGGTTACACATCAGAATTTGGTAGCACGATCAGACAATTTGCTCTTTGTGAGACATGGTCACAGTAGGGAGTGTCAGAAGGGGTAGATCCTTCACCAGTATCACCACTGGGGTAGGGTAGACTACGGACTGCTGAGTCCTGCCACAGATCCTTGCAGTTGAGGTTTATGTAGGGGGCACAATTTTCCTGGGAAGCTCAGCAAACTCTTATCATGGGGTTGTTCCTAGGTCAGGGAAATTCAGGGGATACCAAGAAGTCCAGGATGACTGACTCTTATTGATAAGAAAGGTCATCTTCTTATTCATTCACCCTCAAATCTTTGAATTGACATGCACAGGTAATTTGTTCATTACCTGTGTTAGGCACTATGTTTGCACTAGGCTATAGAAAGGGTCAAAATTTAATCCCTGTCTTGAGGTCACAGACTCCTAGACAAGGCAGTCAAGTTGATGCCGAATTACAATAGAGTGTGAAAGTGCTACCCTAGAAAAAAGGTACAGAGGGCTCTGCAACCTAGGGCCGAGGCCCCTCAGCTTGTTGGTGAAAAGAGTCAAGAAAGGTATCTGAAGGAGAGGGGTTTCTTCTCTAGATCTGGATCTGGTCCAAGGGAGTGCAGGCTGAAGGGAGGTGAAGCTCAACTTTCCAGCAGAGGGTGCCCACCACTTGGTTGTATTACTCTGAACTATGTGGTTAGGCGTGAGGGCCTCTGACCTTTGGAGGACTGGAAAATCAGAGCAGGGAATCTGAGAGATCAGACTGGAGAACTGGAACAGAACCTTGCAACACAGCATAAAAGGCAGAAACCCAGTTCTTTGACCCGAGGCACATGGAGACTGTCTGAGCTTGGGAACCCCAAGGTGCAAGAGCCCTGACTGTCTTCTTTCCAGAATGGGCACGCAAGGGGGTAGCAGACTGCCTTCAAAAAAATGTGTGGGAATTCAGGGGTCAGTCCTGAGGTCCAGAGGTCTGGATAGCAGCCAGCGTGGATCCAGGCAAGGTGGTGTGGCCTGGGCACCTCTCCCCTACCCATCTCCAGGCAGGCAGCTTAACGCTATGCCCTACCAGATGGCAGATGGGGTCAGAACGGACAGGAGGGTGAACTGAAGCAACTCAACCACTTCCTTCCTTCAGGCCTGGCTTGGGTTGGAACTAGACAAGGGTTTGGAGAGCCTGATTGTGGAAGGGGAAATGGAGAGCTGGTGTGGGAATGTGAGTGCACTGAGAGATTATTTACACCAGTGTTCTGTAAAGTGAGGAGCTTCTCTGTTTGAAAGTCAAACTATATGAAAAAAGTCATGTGGGGATAGATGCTTCATGTATATGCAGAGATTGATAATAAAGTTGAGCAGTAGCAAAAGGAAGAAGACTTTTCAGAGTTTACCCAATCAAGCTTGGACTAGTGGCAAACCCTCTGTCCAGTCTGACCCCAGGGTGTGAGGACCTTGCTGTTTGCCTCTCTCTACTTAGGACGCCTCCTAGGAGACCTTGGAAGCTGGTGGGCTATCTTCTATCCACAATTGTTTGCCTCTTTATCTTGGCTCCCCCCCCACCCACCCCATCCAGGCAGCCCATTTCCGCTTGTACCCTGTGCATCTTGCAATCTGGCCAGATACCTGGCTCCAGAGCTTTGCCTTATGAGAATTAGGCCTTTGAATCCTTGCTTCCCTCCCATCCTAACCACTCTTTAATCTAACTCTCTGTACCTCCCCCTCAAGTGACTCTGGGACTCAGCTTGGCCAAACCTGCCTCTGATCCAAATTGTGCTCTGGGTTATAACTTCATCAACGACATTTCTCAAAAGCTAAAGTCAAACCTCTGCCAGAGGAAGATGTAACTATTTAGAGCAAAATATTGCATACCTGGCTCACATGAGTCGCTTAGGAGGAAGAAGGAGTTTGTTCTAAGAATAGTAATTACCTTTTGGGTGAGATTTAAACTCAGAGCCAGAGCATTTCTTAGAAAACCGTGGATAAAGGCAGGTTATTAACAGCAGTTAACTATCAGCTTCTTGAAGTCTGTGTAAAATCTGGCCCATGGATTCAAACAAAACTGGTATGAAATAGCATTTCTCTTCATGTCTGAGGCTCCATGGTGGTTGGCTTCCTTCTTCTTTCTTCCTGCGTGTGACCATCTTCTTGCCAGTCTCAGGTTATGCACTTACGTGTTTTCCAAAAAATCAAAACCATGTCCAATACTCTCGTCATGTGTCATTTTATTCTTATTCTTTAATTGATCCAACAGCTTTCCTTTCAGACTAAATTGGCTTTATTGTACCCCAGAGGTGCCCACAAATGCTGAATTACATGAGCAAAACCCTCAGCCTCTGATAGGGGCATTGCACTCAATAGCCCTACTGAGACATTCATCTCTACTGGCAATCTTTGGTCTTTTGGGTTATTTGAATACTCTGACTAAATATATGTGTGTGTATGTGTATTTTGGCCCAAAGCTTCAAAAGTGGCAAAACACTATGGCAACAACAGGAAAGTTTATAATTGCAGTTTTACAATTAACATTTGTGTCCCGATTTACACACATATTTTGCTATACCAATTCTCTAGTAAAAATTATTCAATGAATTCATGGATTTTTTTTTTTTGGTGGGAAAATAATTTGTGTGTTTTAAATACTCAGAGTCTGGAGAAGGTGGGCAGGTGACCTAATAGAGTGGGACCCTGGCTCCATGTATGTCCTGTAGTGCCAAGCTCTGCTGGGCTGATGCCTATCTTGGGCTGGCAGCCCAGGGAGTGTGAGAAATAGTTAGCCTGGCTATGCCAAAGTTACATTTAGGGTATGTTTAGCCCTTAACAGAGACACTTGAAGCAGAGCTTTCTCTAGAGATTAGTTCCCAGCTGGTGTCGATAATGCTTTGGCCTCCCGAATACCTCCGCATGAGCTTTTGTTTCCAGGAAATGCTGTTGCTTTAATCGTAATTGCTCAAATGAGCAGCCTTTGCCCACTAAAATAGAATTTATATTCAGGAATTTTTATTTGATGGGGATTCTTCCTCAGATACCAATCAGACTTTCTTATTTGGAAAGAAAGAAAACAGCTGGCACAGTCTTCTCAGAGTGGTAAAGAGGACAACTTGTGATGGCTAGTGTAGTTCTTCCTGACCCCCTGAGTGTAGACAAAGCCCCAATTCAGAGGATGGATTTTCTTGGAACTTTCTCATAGCTTCATGGTATGATGACAGAGTAGAAAGTGTTTGTCTTTTGTTATTAAAATGGACATTTCTACATGTGAAGATGCGTATTTAGGAGTGATGTACCTAAATATAAAAAAAATCCCCAAACAAAACTCCAAACCTAAAAATATAGACATGATGCCTTGTCTTCCCACAGACACAGGATTTCATCTCTGAATAATTTGGTTGGTCAAGCTAGTCATAATTTTATACTGTTGTGGGACACTTGAAAAACAAAGAAGAAAAGCCGTGGCCCCAAACACAAGCCTAAGTTTCTTTGTCCTTTCTGTGGGGTCTACATATTCAATAAATGTGTGCCATCCCTTCCCTGATGATTGTTTATGTTTGGAATCTGTTCTGATTGACCAGTGCCTTTACCATATACCAGTTGTTAAATATTTTGAACATCAGCTCCACATAACAGAATAATTGGGAAAGGAGTAGCATCTTAAAGGATGTGAATGAGACAGAGAAAACACTCCTAGATAAGGGCAATCCCAGGCAAAGGGAAGGGGAAAAGGATGGTGAGGGGAAATTAACTAGATCTCCCAAAGTGGGCACTAATTTGAGCCTTTAAAGGCCTTTCTTAAAAAGGTCCAAGTATGAAGAACACATTGACACATGAAACCTGAGAATGGGAGCGGACTGAAAAGTGAGACCAGGTCGTGGTTCAAAAACAGATGGAAACTGTGAGTTCTGAGGCCAGGAAATTACCCTAGTGAGGACGATGAGCAGAGCCATAGTGCAAATGGCTTGAAGAAATCTGTTGCCACTCATATGGCTGGTGCAGCTAGCTGCTCTCTCTGGAGGCACCAAGTGATGCTGGATAGTGCTTGTGTATCTTGCCCTCTCAACTGTTTCTCCTCCTTTTTCAATAGTATTGAGCACCAATGTCAGAGAGCTGATGCAGGCTGAAAAGTGTCCTACGGTATGCCATGGCTGAGGCTCAGCTCTTCTACCTGCCCTCCTGCTATTCACCATATCCTTGGCATGGCTTCCATTTCTTGAAAGAGTATGTAGAATGAACCCCAGTTGATAATTCATGTGTACACCTGTCTTGTCAGTGCTGTGAACTGTGAAAAAGAAATGGTTAAACTTGCCTTATGCTGTGGTTATAGCATATCACCATTCCTTCAACTTTCAATAGGTTTGATGTGTATAAGAATTCAAGCATATGACTGCTTTGGTTTTTTCTATCAGATTTACTATGTTACTCACAGATAATTTAATGTCACAGGATTCCTTGAGAGCTTTGCTACCATCTCTGTGCTGGGCTGCCCTGTGAAGCAATTTTTTCTCTATTGAAAATTCCTGGAAATGACAAGTATTTGGCTTTAGGATGCTTTATGTATCCTTTCCTTGGGCAGATCAACCATTTACTTCCTTTTGAGGCATGATGTTGAGTTAGATTTTATTCCTTGATGTCACACCAACACAAGGGGTAGGTGAGCCAGGCACAAACTGAACTGTAAGAAGATGAACATTTTCCTCTCAATAAATTGCATGTGGGTAACTGAGAGTGGAAGCCATTTATAAAGTTTAACATCTCTCATCTTTTGGTATGCTTTAGGTTGACTGCTTCCGATGACGTTTTTTTGGGGCTAAAAGAAACATTTTATGTTTCATGAACAAATGTATGCTGCTAATTATGGATTTTCTTTTTTTTTTTTCCCCTCAGGTGAACTGGAAACTTGAGTGACTAAAGAATGTGGGATGATTATGGATTTTCAATTTCTAATATTTATGTAGCCAGTTTTCATAATGTCATGCTTTAGTGTCCTATGGAAGTAAAGGCTTGAAGACCCATCCAGGTGGTGTAAAAGTCCCTTGAAATTGGTTGGTGTTTCTTTGGGGAATGGATGCCTAATGTCCTGCAGACGGATCAGGGCACACAAGGTTAGGGACATATCACTCCAGGTGGAGGGCCAGAGCTAAGTGTAAGATTTATTGCTGAGGTAAAATGAGGAAACTGAGACAAGTATAACAAAGTGAGAAACTAATTTATTCAGCTCCTGGGGGAGCTTCAGTGGTCCAAGGGAGGGGCCAGAGAAGTGTGCCCGGCTGTGCAGGGTGTGGCGATTTATGGGGAGGGCAGGCAATTGATTGGGTATTGGGGAAACAAAGAGAAGGCATTTATATTGGCTGTTGAGGAGCAGGAAGTACATGGAGTTAAAGTAGGAAGTACATGAAACTAGCTGCCATTGGTAGGTGGGCGGGACCTTGGGTAAGTGGGCTTTGATTGACTACTGGGGAAACAAAGAGAAGGCATTTTTATTGGCTGTTGAGGAGCAGGAAGTACATGGAGTTAAAGTAGGAAGTACATGAAACTAGCTGCCATTGGTAGGCAGGCAGAACCTTGGGTACCTGGGCCTGCTGGGGCTGGGTAGGCTATGGTGGGGCTTCTTTAAAAAATTTTTCTGCCAGGTTTTTTAACAGCTGGAGGTTGGATGCATAATTTAGTGCTGAGAGTGGGCTTGGGCATAGTATGCAGAGGCAGGTGCAGGGAAGCTATGTGGGGAAGCCAGATAATGAGCTCCGGTGATGACGCAGTTATCAGGTGTGGAGAGTGATGAATGTGTCTGTTTGACTCCCGGCAAGGCAATCGGCCTTACACTAAGGAGCTCTTGGCATTAGTCAAAGAGAAGTCCAGTAGAGATAGGGAGATCACCACTGAAGCAGACATCTCTATCACCTCATCTTCTGATTTTTCTGTCCTCATTCATAAAGAGGAAGAATCTTTGTAACAGCCTATGGAAAGATGTTTTTCTCTTTTCACTGCAACTTCAGCTAAAGATGGTGAAACCAAGGTCTCATCTTTTTAGTTACTTGCTTCTCGTAAGTAATTAAATCGGATAATACCTCTGATGTATGTCACCATGCTTAAGTTGTTTCTCAGGAACTTAGGATCAGCTCTTGTTTAGCTTGAACCAGTTGAGACCACCAGGCCTGTGCAAATGCCCAAATGATGACCTTTTGATGTCACAGAGCCAAAAACAACTCCCTCATATCATGCTAACACCACCATTTTCTGAACATTTGTCTTATGAAGAACCATGAACCCTGACTGTTTGGCAGATCATAGACTACCTCATTTTTCCCACTGCCGATCACCTTTCCCTGTGTCTTAGATCACTTCTACCACTTCTTTACCCCATACATTTCCTTAAGTCCTATCTTTGGAGAGGTGGATTTGAGAGCTGTTCTCTCATCTCCATGCTGGGTTGTCCTGTGAATCAATATTTTCTGTACTGCAAAACTTGTTGTCTCAGTGATTGACCTTCTGGATGATGAGCAGAATGAACTTGGCTCAGTATCAAGGGCAATGGGTGAAAAATAACTTGACATTCAGGACTTTCCAGCAGGAGCCAGACTTGTTTTTGGAATACCTGCACCCATCATCCAAGTCCATTTCATAAATTGGAAGATTGAAATTCATTGGGTGAATTGTTCTAAAGGGAATTTGTAAGAGTAAAGCCAGTTGTGGGTCTCTCCCTCAGGGAGGAGACAAGAGAAGAGGAAAGGTTGTTACTTCTTTTTGCTCTCCTTCATTAGCCAAATGAAGAGGATGCAATAAAACCATGATAACTTCTCATGGAATCTGGGTTGTCTGCTTGAAGGGAAAAACATGTCACATGACATTACCTAGCTGAATGTCTTTTGGGATTCAGAAACTCATTAGCTTGCCAATTTCACGAGAAATCTTCACAGATGTCCCCTGAAGAAGTCTAAATGTGGGACGTTGGCTGGGGCAGTGCACAGTAGTAGTGCAAGAAGAACAGGGGTAGTAGCTGGGTAAGCTTCCCTTGCATTGTTTTGAGGGGCAAGAATGTATACCCCTCAAAGCATCAGGCAGATGTGTAAAAGGTTCTAGGATCAAGTTGTCTTGAAAGACTACTGGATGGTGTAGGGGGATCTCCAGAGTTAAATTGATGGGGCAGGACCTGAGGGGGCTGAGGTCACCATACTTCATCAGAGGGAGCATTGTTTGGGTTAAGAGATGATGCCACAGAAGGTCTCCTTAGTGGTCTTCAGCATACTTATATTTGTCTCTCACAAAATAAAGCCAGTATTTACACAATAGAGGTTCTTCAGGAGCCAAGAGAACACTGCAAACAGCACCAATGAAGTAAAAATTCTTTTGTTTTTTTTTTCTATCATTACTCTTGTACCTAGAGAACCCAGAAGTAGGCACTGGGTAGAGTGGGGTGATAGGAAAAGACAATGACTGCTTCCCAGATGCTAATTCTCAGACCTGAAATCAAGACTGAGCAGAGAGGAGAAAGAAGTTTTAATTGGATGTGGCATTAAAGTTTTGATTTAGAGTGGTGTGGATTAGATTTTTAAATTTCTGAAGATGGGACTTCTTATTAGCGGCTAAAATGGAATTGAAAGTGATGCAATCTGTCCCAGGCATTGGTGGGAGAAAAATAAAAACATTTCCTAATTATATAATACCCAGTTAAACTCTGTACCAATCTGATAAAAATCCACATTTCAAATATACCACTGCAGCTTTCTTACTCCCTTAGCTACATTGGTTTTATTCTGAAGACCTACCAAGACTGTGGTAACTTCAGGTACAAATTTCTATCTCCACTCTGGATATTGAAAAGTAGGCAAGAATTTGGGCCAGGTGTGATGGCTCATGCCTGTAATCCCAGCACTTTGGGAGGCTGAGGCAGGTGCATCACCTGAGGTCAGGAGTTTGAGACCAGCCTGGCCAACATGGTGAAACCCCATCTGTACTAAAAATACAAAAATTAGCTGGGTGTGGTGGTGCGTGCCTGTAAAGCTACTCAGGATGTGGAGACAGGAAAATTGCTTGGACCTGGGAGGCAGAGGTTGCAGAGAGCTGAGATTGTGCCACTGCACTCCAGCCTGGGTGACAGAGCAAGACTCTGTCTCAAAAAAAAAAAAAAAAAAAAAGGCAAGAATTCACCTGAGGGGGATAGAAACATAATGATTTCCAAGGCAAAAGTATCATGAGGAGGATCTATTAAAGACCGTCTTGTCTTCTGCAAAGTCAGGAGAAGACTCTGGGCTCTGGCTGAATTTTTTCCAAGATAATTTTCATCCCTTCTCCATAGACTCATGTAGCCCCCTTTCTCTCCCCTGGGGTGACCAATCCTGCACTTGCTGAGCCTGCTTTCTCCACAGGAAGAAACATTTTAAAGGACCAAGTTGAGCTCCTTATCAGAACATGGACAGCTACAAGCCAATTATGCCTTTGTAAACTTTTTTGACACCTTCTATTGAAAACTCCTGAAAATAATCTACAAACTCTCTTTCATTTTCCGTATTCATACTAAGAATCAAAAATGAGCAGGGTTTCACTCCAAGAGCATTTAGGAGACTGATAATTAAGCCCAGACAAATAATAAGGAAGCCTCCATAGCTTCCTTCATGAATGACAGACCAAGAATCATTTGTGCTAATGGTCCTGGTTGGGTCTCTTCCTCTCCTACAAATTGCTTCGCTTGACCATTTTTCAACCTGAAGACCATTTTCTTTGTTCATGTGCTGTGGCTCCACGTTAAATGTCTCAAGAGGATATATATTTTTTAAGAATAGAAAGGCACTGCTCAAGTCCCCAAGGACTTATTGGAGCTGTTCTTTGTCAGTGCTCTCTTCTGTTGATGGTAAAGTGTTGCTTGAGTCATGCTTCCTCCTTGCAGAGGCAGAGGCAGGAGGAACAGATGATCAGGGTTTCAAAGTGAGAAATCCAAGGTTCTCTTTCCAACTCTGCCATGGACTTCCAACAAAACCTGAGGCTCAAAGCCAAGTATAGCAGTGAGCAATTTAAAGCTAGAGAGAGCTGCTGCATAGAGGGCATTCAGAGCCTTCTTGAAAGCTAAGTTTATGTTTCCTCTTGTTGTGGAAGAAGTCCGTTCCTAAAACCCAAATTCTGGTCTCTGAAGTATTTTTCTTAATTTGAAACCCCTAAAATCTGGCTTTTGTTCATTTCATTTTTCCCCCTTTGGAACTAGTCAGATTTCTCAATACTAATGCAATATTTTAAATTCTTTCAGGTTGAATCAAACTATCTATTTTTTATAATATGGAAAAAGCATGGGAAACATGTTCTCAGCTCCCAAAAGCAGAAAAAATTAGCAGTTGGAGAAACCACTGCAATGTGTGGCCAGAAAAGACAATGGATGAAGACATCTTGATTGACAGTTCCTGGTTTTGCAGGAACCATAGGATAAAACTTGTAAAATCTTTTTTTTTTTTTTTTTTTTTTTTTAACTGGAATTTTTTGCTTGAGAGTTCAAGGTCTGTTTTTCCCCATCCTGCAAACTTTTGTTTTTTTTTTTTTTTCCTTTTAACTGGAATGTCTTTATTGAAGACTCAAAATCCTGCCAAAAACTCAACCTTGATTTAAGAGGCCTGGTTGGCCAACTCATATCTAGATTTAGCTTTAGTTGATGCTGGAAATGCCTGCAGTAAATGATTCCTATTTGGCTCAAAGTAATACATCTTCTTTACTTTAATGGCAGGGAGTTGGGATTGTTACTTTTGTTTTAAAGGGGAATGAGGGGAAGTTGAAACATGTGGACTCAGTGAGGGAGCAAGTCTTCAATAGAGACTTCTGAAGTAGCCAAGAAACCTGGGTAAAGGTCACTGATGGCAGAAGGCAACCTGCATTCATGACAAACACCCCCAGTCTTCTTGCTGGCATCAGAATCTTGCATTGAGCCTGCAGCTTTCTTGGCTAGCTGACACTTTTCTTTCTCTTTCTTCTTTTTCTTTTTTTTTTTTTTTTTTTTTTTTTTTTTTTTGAGACAGGGTCTTGCTCTATCATCGAGGCTGCAAGTCTGGAGTGCAGTGGCGCTATCGTGGCTCACTGCAGCCTTGACCTTCCTCCCTGGGATCAGGTGATCCACCCACCTCAGCTTCCCATGTAGCTGGGACCACCTGTATGCATCACCATGTGTGGCTAATTTGGCAATTTTTCTTTTGGTTAGTGACTGGTTTTGCCATTTGCCATGTTGCCCAGGCTGGTCTCGAGCTCCTGGGGTCAAGTAATCCTCCCACCTTAACCTCCCAAAGTGCTGCGATTACAAATGTGAGCTACTGTGCCTGGCCTGGAAGTGCTTTCTTAATGAGGGTATAAAACTGCATACTATAATTGTACAAATAGTTAATGGAGAATGGCAATGTCTTACATTGTCATTGTAGAAAATGAGTAGTGCAGGTACATGTGTTTCTGGGGCAGGGGTAGGAGCATGGACAATGTGCCATAATGATTGGGAGACTGTACTTGAGCACCATGGAACCGGTTAGATTATTCACACCTTTACACTAATATGTTAAAGGATTAGTAGCAACTTCCCAAGTGATCCTGACACCTCAGCCTAAGCAGCTGGGAATACATGCATGTGTCACCAGGCTCACCTAGTTTTTAAAAAAATTTTTTATAGAGGTAAGATCTCACTTTCTTATCCAGGGTGGCCTCAAATTTTGGGGCTTAAGCAATCCTCCTGCTTCATCTTCCAAAGTGCCAGGATTGCAGGTGTGAGTCACCATGCCTGGCCATAAACTGTTATAGTATGTCCTCCTGCTTTGACAAATGTACCTTCACAACACTGGAATATATGTTGATATGGTTTGGCTCTGTGTCCTCACCCTCATCTTGTGTCCTCACCCATCTCATCTTGTAGCTCCCATAATTCCCATGTGTTGTGGGAGGGACCTGGTGGGAGAAGATTGAATCATGGGTGTGGGTCTTTCCCATGTTGTTCTCATGATATTGAATGGGTCTCACAAGATCTGTTGGTTTTAAAAAGTGGATGTTTCTCTGTACAAGCTCTTTTTTCATGTAAGATGTGACTTGCTCCCCCTTGCCTTCCACCATAATGATGAGGCCTCCCTAGCCACGTGAAACTCTAAGTCCAATTAAACCTCTTTTGTAAATTGCCCAGTCTTGGATATGTCTTTATCAGCAGTGTGAAAATGGACTAATACATATGTATATATGCATACTGGTTGATACCAAATAAATGCAGAGGATACAACTTGAAATTTTGTTTTACTGTTGTCAAAGCTGTGATTTACTTTGGGAGGAGGTGGTGGTACACATGCATAAGCCTCAGCACACTGCAGCTTATTCCCACTCCTTGCAAGGAGTCATTTCTTGGCCATCCCTCAGGCTTAGTGTGTACATATGGGCAATGCAATCTGCTAGACTGACCCAGGAAGAAATCCTTGCAGGCTCTTATGTTCTGAAGACTCCTTGGGAAGGGAATTTGGGAATCTTTTATAAACAGAATGTGATACCAAAAGGGATGGTCCAGACTCTAGGTGGACATACCCCTTGCTTCAAGAGATCGTTGCCTCCATATGATAGGAGCAGCTCAGAGCCAGGCCCCCTCTTACCCAGATCTGAGTTGATCAGCAGATGAGATGAACTAGAGCCCAAAGGAACACAATTTCTGAAACTGGAAAATGAATGGATAAGAAGTAACTGACTTGGTAGACACAAAAATGCTCAATTCTCAACTAACAGTGGGGAAAGGGAAGAACCAACCTGGTTTATGTGACAAAACCCTTAAGACTCTGGAATTGAGAGGAGGGTATTAGGTTCAGCAATTTCCAGAAGTGAGGCTTTCCAATAAGAAGGAAGAGTTGAGAGCTGGTTAAGACGTGTTACATCCCTAGTTCCTCTTTTTACTCTATATTTGCAGGGAAACCTCTCCTTTCCCACCCAGGAATGAAACTAAGCTTATTATCTGGACAGGAAAAAAGGCTTGTGGACCAGGAGGAGTCTAGCAGGCATGACTGAAGGCAGGGTGCCACACTGAAAAGATGAGAATTAAACCAAGGTGTGTCTGTGGAAAGTGGAGACCGTGCTTGTACCTTGAGTCATCTCCCCCCATTCTGTTTTAGAAGCTTTGTGGTCAGGCAAAACATTAGATCTACTCTGGAAGACATGACCAGATCTTTGCAGTCAACAGGCTCCCCTCCTCTGGTTAAAAATTCCAGTTAGATTTTTAGTGTTTCACAACCAACAATTAGCAGAAGTCTGAAGAAATATTCTAAAAAGAAAAACAAGATTTCTGTAGGAAACTAACTGCATGTGAAACAAACCAAAGAAATAATATCCTTAAATAAACCTATTTTTTAAATATTTATTTTAAATCTTTTTTTTTAAATCCACCCATGGATAAAGAACAGGCTTGCATAAAAAGAAATGTTCTGAGAAAATAAAAGAGCTCTTGGGAATTAAAAATTAAAAACTCGATGGTAAAAAGTCCAAGAAAGGGTTAGAAAATAACATCAAGGAAACCTCTTCAGAAAGTAGAATAAAATGGTAAATATATAAAATATAGGTGAGAAAAATAATCATAAAAGTAGTCACAAAGAATAAAAGGCATTCAAAAAGTTCATTAACACACAAAAAATGAGAGAATATGATACACTGAACGATTTCAAGAAAAGTCTCCAAAATGAAAAGGCATGAGTTATCAGATTGAAAAGTTCACCAGTATCCAGAAAAAAGAATGAAAATAGATCCATATAGAGACAACCTATGTGAAATATCAAATTACTAGGACACCAAGAAGAAAATTCTACAAACTTCCAGTGAGAAGGGAGAGAGGAAGAACAGCAGCAAAAAATTCAAAATCGAAAAGTAGATCCTATTCCAAAGAATCCAGATGATGAGATACTTCTCAACAGCAAAACTGGAAGCTAGATATTAGGGCAATTACTACAACATTCTGAAGGAAATAAAAATTTCTAGCCAAGAATTTTATACCCAGACATGCTATTAGTTAATGTGAAGCTAGAATAAAGACATTTTAAGACATGTAAGTCCCCAAATTTTGCCTCTTATCTAACCCTCTCAAGAAGCTACTGAAAGATGATACCATCAAGAAAAAAGTATGCAAGAAATAGGAAGATATGGTGTGTCAAAGACAATTCTATGTGTTTACCACATGATTTCTTCTTCTCAGCACACTGGAAGACTACATATCCCAGCATTCTTTATAGTTGTATTGGAGCTAATGTAGTTAGCTTTCTCTTCTGACATTCTTTCATGTCAGAGAAAAAGAATTTTAGATAAAACTACTTTCAGTGGTTAATTTTGTGACAGTGGCTTTGATGGTAGTCATTCTTCAGCCAACCCATGAAGAGAAATGAGCCTGGTTGTGTTGGAGGTATAAAAGAGTCCTGACAGTCAAATGACTCATTACCTTGTTTATCTACATTGTTCCATTTTCCTGTATACCCTCTGACTTGCACAGATGGCTCAAAAACTGATGTCCCTGTCCATGGTTTCTTCCTGAATAAACCAAAAGCACACTTGCTGTTCTTCTCCATCTCTTTGGACGATGCTGTAAAACTAGTTATGGTATATCAGCACATACAGAGCATTGCTGCTGTAGAACACTTTACCCTGTTTTTTCTTCCTCTTTCTGTTAAATTAGGGGTCAGCAAACCATGGCCATGGGCCAAATCCGGCCCATCTCCTTTTTGTGTGTCATCTGCAAGCTCTGTGAATGGCTTTACTTTGGCCTCTTCTCAATTAATATATAAAGCATAAAGGTGGTAGTGAGAATAGAATCAAGAAGACTTTATAATAAAGGGGACCCAGGAATTGGGTTTATAAATAATAGCAGGTATTAATCAGTTAACTTTTCAAAGAAACAGTTTTGTTTATTATCTCCAGTGTCTAGTATACTGCTTGTCACAGAGTCAGTGATGATAAATTCTCCTTGGATTAATTGTCATCCCAGTACCTGATTCATTGTAGGTCCTTGACAAATGCATGAATAATTCGGTAAACAACAAAGAGGTATTATGGAGCCCTCTGTTACATGTGGAGCACAGTGGGGTGATGAGTGAATATAAGAAGTGGACCTTGAATTTAAGATTCTTAAAATCTCATAAGATTAAACCACCTTGTGATGATGTTGGCAATAGACAGTTATCAGTTGAACTGTGTAGTATAGGCCATTGCTTTCAAACCAGGGTGCTCAGATCCCTGGGGTATTCTTTTTTGGCACTGCAGAGTTGTCTTTTCCCACTTGCCCCTTTCTGTAGCCCACCTCTTCACCTAAGAACAGGTAAACACTTCACCTTTCCAGTTCTTACTGTGGCTCATTGCTCTGGGCTGGAAGATCTCCCAGGGCACAGACAATCCAAAATACTGACTTGAAAGAAGGGTCTTCTAATTAATTAAATCAATGATTCTCAAAATCTTTACTGTCTTGAATATATTTCTCTTAAAGATGATATATGGCATTAGAAATGGGGATATTTTGGCTCTTGTGTGTTCTGAACTCAGAAATACTAACTGTAGTCATGGGCCCAACTTTCATTTAATGACCTTCTACTCTTTCATCTCCCACCATTATCAAGAAATCCATAGCTCTTGAGAGTTTGGCAAAGATAAAGCAAAAAGCATTGATAAGAAATAATGCTAAAAATGGCTTCCCCCTTTCCACCCTCCCACAAGACATATTTCATGAAAGTGTTTTTTTCCCAATGCTTGTCCCAAGAATAAGTCTCTAGCTAAAAAGAAAAGCACGTGTGAACAGCTCAGGTAGAGAATAAGTTAGTGATGATTAATTTATAACATGTAACTGATTATTTTTAGGGATTATCAAGCTTTCAAGTTACCTTGGACAAAGCCTATGGATAAATATTTTCTGTGTGTGATTCCTTTTAAAAAAAAATATATATATATACATAGATATATAAATTACAATGTTCACCTAATTTCACCGTATAAAATGTTTAATATTTTCTACTTTTTGATATAAAAACATAAAAGCATGAGGAAAAATTAATGAAGTATAGTTTTTTATGGTATATCTTTGTTTTTGTTTACATAAAACAGGTTTGATTACATCTAATGAAGTAACTGGTGAAATTTCTTAATATCATACATTATCCTTATTTAATGTTTCTAATAAGCTAGTAGCTTATGAGATACAGGCATACAGGCAACATTCACAGAACATGTTTAAAATTGATAATGACCAAAAAAAATAGCTTGTGAGACACAGGCAGAATCCATAAGCATGTTAAATATAGTAAATAGTAGGTAACCTGTAAGATATGGATTGTTTGAGGCCAGGAGTTCAAGACTAGCCTGGGCAAAATAGCAAGACCCCACCTCTAGTTAAAAAAAAGAAATTGAATGCATGATGGAACAAACAAGAGGTTAACTTACAGATACAAAGACATGGAAAGACCAAGTCATAAAATATGATGCTGTCACTTCTGGGACTTCTGGGCTGACAACTGTGTCACCCTTAAATTGTCCATTCACTAGTGACTCCCAGTATGGCCTTATTTTGGCCCCACATGTGCTCTGCCTAAGAAATTCAGTTAACGCCTAAAGCTGCTGAGCTGGCTAATTCCCAAGCATTAGCTGTGGCCAGGCACAATTAGCCCTGAGTCTCTCAGATGGCCTGGTGTTTGTGTTGGCTCCAGGTACTCTCTGTTCACTCACTCTTCTGATGTTTTTTTTTTTTTTTTTAAATAGAGATGGGGTTTCACCATGTTGCCAAGGCTGGCCTCATATTTTTGCTGGATTCCTCACAAAGTGCTAGTATTACGGATATAAGCCACTACACCTGGCCTAAACCCCCTGTTCAAACCTCAGCACTGGGCTTCATAGCGTCACCACCCATGGGGGAGACTGAAGCAGGAAAAGACAATATGTGAACACTGTGGGATCCCCAAACTTTGAGTAGTGTGGTCTTCCAATCTTTGTCTGTAGGATGTCTTGTCTGGGTTCTAGGCACTTTAGCCTTTCTGGGGCTGTTTCTCCATGAAGAAATATTAAAAATGTTTACTACTGAATTGATATGAAGACTAGTATAATCCAGGGTGGATTATATTCATTCCTTTCTTTCTGACTTAAAAAAAATTAAAACAGTTTTGTGAGTTCCTAAAAATGGATAGTGCCAAAGTGCTGTGTCTGCGGTGCTTCATGGAGAAGCTGACTCTGGTTTAATCTTCTTATACCCTTTGAATGTATTAACCCATCTCTTTCCCTTGCCTCTTGCTGTATTTTAAATTGATGAAATAATTCATGTGATTCAAGTATTTAGATTTGGTTGGCAAGCCTTTCTGTTCTGTGATCTTTGAGATAGCTTGCTTGAGGGCGTACTTGGAGGGTATCATTGCACCAGAGTAATTCCCTCCACAACATTCCCAAAAGCCAAACATCTGCATGTAGTACACACATGCTCACCAGCCTAACAGTGAGTACCTTCCCATTATTCTAGGCCTCTTCTAGTAAAGAACTGGAAACTCTAACCACATATTAAATGTTATGCCATTACAAGTTAATTAATAGAAAGCAGCAAATAGATATATTCTTAATTTTATAACTTATAAAAATTAAAAAGGATTATTTTAATATAATTATAATGTATAAGTAATATTAGATCAATATCACCTTAATTATAACAACTTCTAGTAATTTGCATTATGGTATTATAAAGTTATATGATTCATGCCTTTTCCAGTGGATTTTAGAATTTTTTTTTTGGATAAGTCAGAGTCTTTTTTTTTTCTGGCAGATTGATTTAGCTGATTGATTATCTTGAGAAGGAGTGCTGGCTTTGCTAATTACCCTATGTGGTAGATTTTTTACAAATTGAATGAGCTAAATATGCAGCGCCAAGGTTTTGACTATATATACTGTATTCTATATGTATATCAGTATATCATATATTTACATATGTAATTGGAAAAGCTATATTGAAACAAATTTATTTTCATAGCATTTTCTAAGTATACTGAATTAAACAAGATAATTAAAAAAAATTATATGCAAAAGTGGCATCAGTTGGTGTAAGCTATTTCCTCTCTGCATTTGGCTATGATCTGGCTTCAATGTCTTTTGCAGTGGGCAGCATGACCACCAAATACGGCCCATGCCCTGATCCCTGGAAGCTAAATATGTTACATTACATGATAAAGGGGACTTTGCTGATGTAATTAAGGTTATAAATCTTAAAACAGGGAGATTATTTTTTATTATTCAGGTGGGCCTAAACTAATCCCATGAACCTTTAAAAGAAATGGACTTTCCCTAGCTGGGGACAGAGGATGGATGTGTCAGAAGACAGAGGGGTTTGAAGCATAAGAAGCATTTTGCTCATTGTTGTTGGCTTTAAATATGAAGACAGCATCCAGAATCAAGGCTCTTGGAGCTAGTCAACTTCTGACTTACAGCCAGCAAGGAAGTGGAACCTTAGTGCTACTGCCAAAAGGAGCCCAACTCTTCCAACAACCTGCATGGGCCTGGAGGTGTGTTCTCTCCCAGAGCCTCCACAGAAGCACCAAGGCCAGACAGCACCTTAATTTTGACCTTGAGATTGGGAGGAAAGAAACCAGCCAAGCCCATCCTACAGAACAGTGACTTTTCTGAATGACAAACTTGTGAGACAATAAATTTGTGTTGTGTTAAGCCACTGAATTGGTGGCAATTTGTTGCAGCAGCAATAGAAAAATGAATATATGCCCTCCTAGCTTTCAAGAAAGTCACTCCTGCAACTGGCTTGTTGGTTTGTTAACTTTGCATTTTTTTTTTTTTTTGAGATGGAGTTTCTCTCTTGTTGCCCAGGCTTGAGTGAAATGCCACGATCTCGGCTCACCGTAACCTCCACCTCCTGAGTTTAAGTGATTCTCTTGCCTCAGCCTCCCAAGTAGCTGGGATTACAGGCATGTGTCACCATGCCTGACTAATTTTTGTGTTTTTAGTAGAGATGGGGTTTCACTGTGTTGGTCAGGCTGGTCTTGAACTCCTGACCTCAGGTGATTCACCTGCCTTGGCATCCCGAAGTGCTGGGATTACCGGCGTGAGTCACTGTGCCTGGCTGTTAACTTTCTATTTTATTCCACCTGGGAAAGTGGTCTTTCCAGAGAGAAACAAAACCATGTTCCGGTCACACTGTGGGCCTCTTGTGTCATCATTGAAATGACTCTAGTGGAATTCAATTGAAATGAAGCAAAATGCAAAGGGACTAATTTTTAAAGTTCTCTATTTTTTAATGGTCTAAAAAAAATCAGGGTTGGGTTACTTTTCTGGAAGGTTAGTGGCCACAGCTCCAGGAAATGAGTCCACTAACCCTGGATTCAACACCATTTAACTGAGCACTAGGCCCTTCACAATGGAAGGGAGGAATGGAGCACGTAACTAAACAGCCTCCACTCCTTGCAGGTCAAGCATAACACAGAGTTTAGAAAAATATTCATAAGAGTGCTTTACTCTAGGTTCAAGTCTCATTCTTGAGTCTATTCCTGGTCTCTGCTGAGAGGGAAGATTTTCAAGTGGTTCCTCTTCTATCCGATTCATCACAGGCTCCTCCATGGTTCTGGGTCCTATGTACTCAGTCCAATAGGCAGTCTCTGATGTTCATTCCACTTGAAGTATATTGGGAAAACCATTCTCATCTTTAATACCTCTGCTGCTCCTTGACTAATCTCCTTAGCTCCAGGATCCTACCCTGTCTTCTCAGTCACTGGCTCGTCATTCAGTTCTACTGATTCTCCTCTGGACAAGAATGAAGTGGCGATGGTGATTGGTTGTGGAGCAGGAAGTGAGCTCTTCAGGTGCTTTGGGTAGAACTATAAGACAAGCAGCCCTTTGACATTACCAACATGAACCTCCTCTTTTTATATTTCCAATGAATTGTGGTCAAAGAGTCTTTGATTCCCCTACCACTTTGAGCTGAATTGCCAAAAGCTACTATATTATTCTAGCTTCGTTACATGGCATGACCCAAGACAGGAGTTGGGAAGTGGAGAAAAGAACTATGAGAGGTTGGTGGAACTTGAAGAGATAGAGGTTTTTGTGGACAGAGAGGAACTGTGTCCTTCAGCCAAAAAATGCAGTCACCCTATGGCAATCCCATTGGAAGGGAGCTGGGGAATAGATACTCTGACTTGACTTTATCTGGTCTTCTGCAGGCATTCCCCCATTAGCTGTAATAAACTAGAAGCTAGAAGGAAAGGCAGTCCTTTTCTTTAGTCCATGCATATTTGTCTCACAGGGCATGGGCAGTTTGGATATCAGACCTGGAGATGAAATGAGGGGTATCCAGCATCCCTGAATAGCATGGGACCAAATGGGAATGAACATCAGAGACTGGCCATTGGACTGAGAACATAGGACTCAGTCCCATGGAAGAGCCTGGGATGAACTGGATAGAACAGGAACCACTTGCAAATCCTCCCTCTCAGCATAGAACAGGAATAGACCCCTGTAAGTCTCATTGGATAAGGTCCTAGAGCTTTAGAGGAGTAGGGGGTGTAGAGATTGAGGGAGCAGGAGTGTGTAGGAGTGGCTGTGCTCTCAAGGCTCAGAGGAAAGTGACACATGGCATCACAGGAATGGCGCTAGGGCATTGTGGGACATCCTGATAACTACCTCAGCTCCAGAGGATGTATTTGTATTTGCAGGCACTTCAGCGAGAGCTCTGGCCTCCTCATCTATGGCAATAGCACTCAGGTCTCCTGAAATCAGTGTGTGTGTGTGTGTGTGTGTGTGTTCATGCATTTAATGCCAGGAAGACAAGGTTTAGAATGTACAAGACACACTTTGGAATTAGCGTCTTATTCATAAATCATCCTTTTACTCTAGGAACAGCTCTTACTCTATGGGAGCTGGTTTATCAGTGGCACATATATACTGAATAACACTGCTTCTTTGGCTGAAGCTGAGTGATTCATGAATGGACATTTGACCTTTGTCAGGCCAATTTGAATCCTTCCCCAGGATTTCTTCAACTGAAAGTATACAAAAATAACTTCGTTTTTCTAGTCTGGATGAAGGAGGCATTACTAGGTGGGGTATTCAACAGTTGTTGGATGCCCTATTTCCTGCCACGTGGAGGAAGCCATCTGCTTTGATTGGAAACCAAGCCCACCCACGAGAAGCAGAGACAATATACAGAAAGAGTCCAGGTAGTACTCAGTTTAACAGCTACAGAATACATGTTCTTCTCATCAGCACATGGAACATTCTCCAGAATAGATCATATATTAGGATATGAAACAAGTCTGAACAAATTTTAAAACATTGAAATTACATCAAATATCTTTTCAGATCCCAATGGGATAAAACTAGAAAACAATACCAAGAGGAACTTTGGAAACTATACAAATACACAGAAAGTAAATGACATGCTCCTGAATAACCTTATCACCTTTGGGTCAAGGAAGAAATTAAGGAGGAAATAAATTTCTTGAAACAAGTGAAAATCAAAACACAAATGCAAAAACCTATGAGATACAGCAAAAGAAGTGCTGTATAAAGCTGTTAAAAAGAACATTACACTTTTATTATTTATAAACTATAGTATATATGTCTTTTATAATTTATAATAAAGATACAATGTATAATATACATGATTTTTTTGGAGAACTGGTTTTTAAGCACTTACCAGCACACTGCTGGACAGATCTGGGTTTAAGTTACAAGAATGTTTTTTTTTCTTTGAGATGAAGTCTTGCTCTGTTGCCCAGGCTGGAATGCAGTGGCACTATCTTGGCTCACTGCAACCTCTTCCTCCCAGGTTCAAGTGATTCTCCTGCCTCAGCCCCCCAAGTAGCTACGACTACAGGCACCCATCACCATGCCCAGCTAATTTTTTGTATGTTCACTAGAGACAGGGTTTCACCTTGTTGCCCAGGATGGTCTTGATCTCCTGACCTCATAATCCACCTGCCTCAGCCTCCCAAAGTGCTAGGATTACAGGTGTGTGCCACTGCTCCAGGATTAACTTTTTCTCTCTAAATCATACTGTCTGTCCACATTTGTACTCTATTATAGCAAGAAGCTACTAATATTATTTAGTAGGTAAGTGGTAGTGATATGGTTTGACTATGTACCCTGCCAAATCTCATCTTGAATTCCCATGTGTTGTGGGAAAGACCCGGTGGGAGGTAATTGAATAATTGGGCAGGTCTTTTTGCTTTTCTTGTGATAGTGAATAAGTCTCATGAGATCTGGTGGTTATATTAAAAATGGGAGTTTCTCTGCACAAGCTCTCTTCTCTTACCTGCTGCCATGTGAGACATGGCTTTCACCTTACTCCATGATCGTGTGGCTTCCCCAGCCACCTGGAGCTACCAGTGCAATAAACCTCCTTCTTTCATTATTGCCCAGTCTTGGGTATGTCTTTATCAGCAGCATAAAAACAGACTAATACAAGTAGGAATTTTTTCTTTAAACAGTCAGATAGTAAACATATTTGACTTTGTGAGCCATATTGTTCCTGTCACAGCTATTCAACTCTGTCATTGTAGCATGAAAGCAGTCATAGACAGTACGTAAATGAATGGCTCTGTCTGTGTTCCTCTAAACCCTTACTGAATAAACAGGTAGCAGGCTGCATTTGGCCCATGACCTATAGATTGCTGAATCCTGTGCTAGATTATACATTTCTTGAGAGTGAGAACTATTTCTATCGATAAAACTTATTTCCTTAGAACTTGGCACAGTTCCTAGCACACATAGCAAAAGATGAATAAATATTTGTTGAACTTGGAATACGAAATAGCAGTTAAAATGAATGTACAGATGCAGCCTGAAAGAACATGGTTAGTACTCACTAACACAATGTTTAGCAAGAAAAGCCAGAAGCGATAGAATACATACTGTAAAGATTCATTTCTATAAAGCTCAAAAACAAGCAAAATTGGACTCTTGCTTCTAGTCATGATGGGATAACAGATTTAATAGATTTAATTTATCGTCTCACTTCAAGCAACTAAAAAAGAAGGCAAACTCTATGATACAATAATGTATGACAATGGGAAACAGGCAGCACTGGACTCAAACTTCTGAGCAAAAAGAAACAAATGAAGTGAGCCCTATAATCATTTCAGTTTAATTCCTGGCTGCAGTTTCTAGATTGCAACACAGGATGGAGGAACTTAAATCCTGGTTGTCTTTCTGAGTGAAAGAGACAGGGATAAGAATTTGGGAATCCAATGAGGCTAGAATTTGGATATGAGAAAGATAAATAGAGAGCTCCATATCTGTAGAGAAGTTCCCTTGTATCTTTGGTTGAGTATTAATCTGCACACAAATGCAGGGAAATTACCCTAGGTCAAGGAAAAAAACACTGGAAAGCACTAAATTAAATAATCTTTAGAATTCACACATGGTGAAGAAAAGCTTATGTTGCTATGACTGAGAAGGGGAAAATATTGTAATACATAGGACACTGGATAGAGTCCTCAGAAGGACGGAGAATTAGTAGTGGGGATGAATTAGCTCTAAACTAATGGCTAACTGGATCAACCTTAACAAAGTATGATAGCAAGTCTGAAAAAGATCAGACTGATCTAAAAATAAGTACAAATCTGAATAAAGTCCAATACAATATTAAGAAATAAAACAAAATACCACACCACAAAACATAAAATTTATGTTGATCAACTAATCAAAAATTACTAAGA